AAAATAATTTGGGTTAGGCTACGTTCACACTAGCCTTGTGTGCAGGCGGCAGAGAGGCGTTTGGTAAGCTTTTTTACCGCTTCCCAAACGCCTCTGCCAATTCTGCACATTACAGCACATGGTGCTGTTCTAACGGAAGCGTTTGCGTCGCGTCGCCAAACGGATGCCTCTGGACGAGTCAGGAGGCTTTGAAGCTTCCTATTCTCGTCTATGGTGCCGCTCCGCAAACGCCCGCCTGGCGTTTGCTTGCGACGCGGTTGCGGGGCGTTTGCGGAGCGGTAACACCACTCAAACTGCATTATAGGCGTTTGTGGGGCGTTATTAATGCTCGGCAAACGCCTAGCAACCGCTGCTAAACCGCACATGCGGCGTTTGCCGAGCGTTAGCGTTAATAACGCTCCACAAACGCCGGACCAACGCTTGCCAAACGCTATAGGGGCGTTTGGCAAGCGTTGGCAAAACAGCCTAGTGTGAACGAGCCCTTAGTTTTTATTTTATGCAGCTGGACAATTTGAAACTTAGTCCTCCTGCACACGGGACATTTTTACAGCGCTGTTTTTGGCTTTTGATGGTATTTTCTACAGCCAGTAAACCCTCCCAGCATGTTATCCCATGCACACACAGACTGGAATCAACGTTTTTTTGGCAGGGATGTTTTTTTGGCTGGAAAAAAAAACCCAGGACTAGTGCGTTTCTAGAGGAATTTTTTAGCTGTAAAAACGCTCTAATGCTGAAAAATGTGGTAAAACACCGTAAACCGGAGTTTTTTGGCCGTTTTTTTTTTGCCAAAAAAAAATAATTTTTTTTTGGTGAAAAAAAAAACGCTAAAGAATGCAAACGCGGGAAAACGCTAATGCAAAAACGCTGAAAAAGTCAAGTTTTTAACGTGACTTTACACAGCTAACATTACCAGCGTTTTCAAAACGCCCTGTGTGCATGAGGCCTAAGTGTATGGACCAAGCTTTTGAGAGCGGTACCAAGTGGTAATGTGTGACACGGTCTGTGGAAGAGCAATGCTGAAAACCTCTGTGAGGGAAACTTGTTGATTTTTGATTTTTTTAACTCTGTTGTACTTTCTTGTATTAACCCCCCTGGTGGTATTCCCGAGTGTAGCTCGGGGTAAAGTTTCAGCACCACAAGCGGTAACTCCGAGCTACACTCGGGAATACACTGCAGCGTTGCTCTGGGATCTCTTCTGCACTTACCTTGTCCTGCACTCCTGTGGTGTCCCTCCTGCAGTGTCCCCGGCCATGTCCTTTGGCCGATGTCGGCATCTGTCTTCCGTGTTTCGTTCCCTGCGAGCGTCGGGACGTATGGGGGACGGAACTGGTGGGAAATTTGAAAATTTTAAAAGTGACATTCACTAAATACACTAAAATCACATAGTATAACATTACTGTATCAAATCATTTCACATACATTTTGTCCCGAGTCCTTTGTCCTGTGCCCTGCCTGCTTTTTTACTGCCTGGAAACTGAGAAACGTCCATGGCATCCAAAAAGTGTCCCTTTAGGTCAAAAGCGGTTTTAGACCAGCTAGAGAACAGCGATAGTAAATTAGAACCACTTGCAGAATTGAGTGATAATGAATTGATTAGTGGGGAAATTCGTCATCGGACACTGAAAACGATTCTGCTACTGAGCTCAGTGATGTGCGAACTTGGCGCTATATTTCACATTTCAGTGTTTTTGGTTTCATTATATTATTGAATTAAATTTATTATTATTATATTATTATTTTTTTTATGATTATTTATTAAATTATAATTTATGATTTTGTGTTTTCAAATTTTAACATACCCGGGATGTTTACTAGACTCTTGTTCAGACAGATTTTAGTGAGTTATTCCTAAAAATTACAGGCCTACAATAAAAAAAATACATATTTCCATTGAAAATAATGTACCGCTTTGAGCACAGAAATATGGACATAATCAGATCGGCTAGGGAGGTTACCATTGGGCCAGAAAATCCCTTTTCCCCCTCCCACCGAAGGGCTCATGTACACTGCAGCTGATTAACTCACGTTTAGGAGCTTTTCTGCATTTTTTTTTTTTCAGCATCCCCTGAACTCTCCCTAATGTTTTCCTATGTGTCCATGTACACATTGTCGTTTACAGGCAGTTGAGTTTACAGTTGTTTTTTTGAACGCACCAGACTTGCGTTCAGGAGTAGATTTTGTCAGTGTTTCAAACGCTAAATGTGGCTAACCGCATTTATAAGCGTTTGGAAAAATTTTTTAACTCTTGCATTTCCAGATGCTATCCAGAGCCTTTTTGTCATCATGAAAAATGCATGCAAAGCATTTTCCCGGTACTCAAATGGACCTAGTACACCATACTTTGAGGTTTCAGATGAAAGAAAATATGTTAGACACTGCTGCAATAATTTCTGCACAGAAATGAGCCGGAACACATCCAAACACCACAAAGAAAAAAAAAAAAAAAACACAGCTAATCTCAACAAATCCTACTCTCTCTGCTTCTGCTCTCTCTATTTCTCTCAAAATGTCTGAAATAGTTAATTTTTAACTGTTTTTTCAGTGCATTTTGGAAAGTCTCCTGAGGTTATCATTAAAAAAACGCTTCTAAACGTAAACGCGGTATGCAAACGCGGCTAAACAGATGTTTTTTTAACCACCTCCCACCTGCCCGTTGTATATAAACGGCCGGACGGTGGCAGTTCAGGGTCGGGTGGCCGTTTATACACAGCCTCCCCGAAACCCTGCTTGTGCGCACTCCCTAGGAGCGCGCAGCACCACGATCCGGTGCCCACCGTGTCCTCCAGACACAGTGGAACACCGATCGTCGGACGGGACCTCTGTACGAGGTCCCGATCATGTGATCACTTATTGGCCAATCAGTAATTACATGCAGAGTAGTAAGCAAGATGTCACTTCTGACATCATTGCTTACTACGTGTGAAATCTGTGAATGATCACAGAGGTCACATGGTACAAGGCTATTCAAAACAGCCTTGTACCATGTGACAAACTGTGACCAATCACAGCTCACTCAGTAGTTCTCAATGGCTGCAAGAATGCAGCCAGAGAGAAGGAGAAATGATTGCTTTTACAGCCTTTATGGGTGTAAAAGCAATCAGTGTAAAAAAAATCTTCATCACCCCCCACAAGTAGTACAGTTTCACCATGGTGACACTACTGCTAGGGTGACAGTATGTAAAAAAAATTAAATAAAAAATAATATAAAAAAAAAAAATGTAAAAAATAAGTTTAAAAATTATAATTTTTGGTTATAAACTAATTTGGGTTGTTTTTTTTTACTAAAAATATAACGGAATACATTTTGGCCAAGATTACATTTTTTCAAAATTTTTGGACTTTTTGATTTACATAGCAAAAAAAAAAAAAAAAATCCCAGTGGTGAATAAACACCAACAAAATAAAGCTTTATCTGTCTCAAAAGTGCTAAAAAATTCATATGGGTACAGTGTTGCATGACCGCGCAATTGTCATTCAAAGTGTGATAGTGCTGAAAGCTGAAAATTGGCCTGAGCAGGAAGGGGGTAAAAGTGTCCGGACTGGAAGTGGTTAACCTACGTTTTCCAGCAGTCAGTTTCCATCGTTCAGAAGTGTCCCGTGTACATGGGGCCTAAAGGGTAAAACAAATGTTAATGCCTAAGTACAATTTTGCAACTTTGACATGTGTTAGTAAAACCGTACATATCATCACAACTATTTTGTGCATCCTGGTGGATTATACCGCGTTTTTTTCAGGACAAACTGGGCTTTTATTTGGTCATAAATGGTAATTGATATCTCCTGGAGTAGTGGGTTTCTAGAGGAGTATTTTAGCTGAAAAAATGCTTTGACGCTGAATAGCGCAGTAAAACACCACAAACCAGCATTTTTGGACATTTTTTTGACCCAAAAAAATTTTTTTTTGGGTGAAAAAACACTAAAGAATGCAAACGCGGGAAAACACGGCTAAATGCAAAAAAAAAAACCCTAAAAAACTCACGTTTTTAACGTGACTTTACACAGCTAACGTTACCAAACGCCCCGTTTGCATGGAGCCATATAATGTAGTAAAGATTCCTCTTATCTCAACAGATGAAAAAGATGAGGACATCACATCCAACTCTTCAGAAGACAACCCCATTACCCGAAGCCTCCAGCCAACACCGACAGATCTGTTTCATAGGTCCCCTACCAGAGAGTGTTCTATTGTTACCTTCACCAACGCCCATCAAACAGCTCATAGAGAGGGGGAAACTTTCCCTTGTTCTGACTGCGGCAGATGTTTTCATCAGAAATCTCATCTTGCTTCCCACCAGAGGTCTCACGCAGGGAATGAGTCCCACTCTTGTTCTGAGTGCGGGACATGTTTTTCCTCCAAAAAAGTCCTTGCTGAACATCAGAGAACTCACGGTGGGCTGAAGCAGTTTTCATGTTCCGAATGCGGGAAAAGTTTTACTTCGAAATGGTCTCTTATGCGACATCAAAGAGTTCACACAGGAGAGAAGCCATATTCGTGTTCGGAATGTGGGAAGTGTTTTTCCCTGATGGACCACCTCATTAATCACGAGCGAACGCACACCGGAGAGAAGCCGTTTTCATGTCCAGAATGTGGGAAACGCTTTACACAAAAATCAGGCGCACTACGGCATCTGAGAAATCACGCCGGACTTAAGCCGTTTTTGTGTTCGGAATGTGGGAAATGTTTTCCCAGGAAAGGAGCCCTAATCACACATCAGCATGTGCACGCCGTAGAGAAGCCGTATTCTTGTTCAGAGTGCGGGAAATGTTTCCCCACCTCATCTCACCTGATCCATCACGAAAAGACTCACATGTCTGAAAAGCCGTTTTGCTGTTCTGAATGTGGGAAGTCCTATGTTCAGAGAGGGCATCTTACTTTACACCTAAGATCTCACACGGGGGAGAAGCCATTTTCGTGCCCCGAGTGCGGGAAATGTTTTCCTCAGAAAGACAGTCTTATTAAACACCAGAGATGTCACACAGGAGAGAGGCCGTATTCCTGCATGGAGTGTGGGAAATGTTTTTCCAGCAAACAAAGTCTCAGATCACACCAGTCGGCTCACACAGGGGTGAAGCCCTATTCGTGTTCGGAATGTGGGGATGTTTTTCCCGGAAAAGGAGCCCTGATCAGGCATCAACGTGTGCATACGGGAGAGAAGCCATATTCCTGTTCGAAGTGCGGGAAATGTTTTGTGACCAGAGCTCATCTTATCTATCACGAGAAGTCTCACATGTCTGAAAAACCCTTTTCCTGTTCTGAATGTGGAAAGTCCTTCACTCAGAGAGGGAGCCTTATTTCACACCAGAGATGTCACACGGGGGAAAAGCCATTTTCGTGTTCCGAATGTGGCAAATGTTTTCCCCACAAAGATACTCTTGTTAAACACCAGAGATGTCACACGGGGGAAAAGCCGTTTTCATGCCAGGAGTGCGGAAAATGTTTTCCTCAGAAAAATTATCTCATTAGACACCAGAGATGCCACACGGGAGAAAAGCCGTTTTCATGCACTGAGTGCGGGAGATGTTTTTCCACCATACAAAATCTTATTTCACACAAGAGAACTCACACAGGAGTGAAGCCATATTCATGTTCAGAATGTGGGAGATGGTTTTCCTGGAAAAAAGCTCTGATCAGGCATCAGCATTTGCACTCTAGAGAGAGTCTCCAAGTCCCATCTTCTCTATCACAAGAAGACTTGTCATCAACCTACCTTATTAAAACACCAAATGTTGAGGGACAGGACTGAGTTGAGGCTGAACTGGTCACCTTTTTGATCGCCATCTTGCCAAAGTTCAATAAAGACTTTGATTATATTGTTTGTGTGTGTGTATACACAATTTCCTAATTGTACACCACAGGGGAGTTAATGCTTAGACCAGGGTTTCTCAACTTTTTTTTTTACTTTGGAACCCTTGGCAAAAAGTTTGAGATCTTGAGGAACCCAGGGATGTACCTACAGGGATCACAGGGGTCACAATTGCGACCCGGCTCCATGGTACACTTGGATAGGAGGAGCAACGGGGGGCAGCTGAAGAGGAACTGAGCTCTCCATTTTCCTCCTGCAGCTGCTAAATGCCTGCTTCCCCTCCTCTCCTTCCCGAAGGCATTCATCAGATCCAGGAGGAAAATAGACTGGTTCCCCTGTATGCAGCTGCCCCGGCCGCTCCTCTTAGCCAGGTTTGTTCTGCTGCCAGCCTGTGTGTTCTCCTAACCCCCCCCCCCCCCCCCCCCCCCCCCCGTGCTCTCTCTTGGCTCCCCTTATGCCTTGCAGCTCTGACGGCTTCCCCCCTCTCCTCTCCTGTGCCAGCTGCTGCTGGAGATGCTGTCAATGTGTCATTTACTGGCCCATTCCTTGTCCTTATGAATAGTCAGTGATCCGTACCAATCACTGACTCTGTTCATTCATAACTGAAGCATTATATACTGTGTTTACTATGCTTCAGTTTGTAAATGAACGGGAAGCTCTGTACAGAGCTATTCCTGTCCATTCATTCTGTGTAGCTGAGGCTGCAGAGATGGTGATTGAGGGCCGTGTCCTCTATCTCCTTTTTCTGTCTTAAAATTGCAACATCAGAGATCTGCTTGGATCCCCTGATATTTCACTAAAACCCTCCAACGGGGCTCCTAAAAAAAAAAATTAAAAAATAATAAAAAAATATTGAAAAAAGTAAATAACAATATTAAGTTCTGACATGAGTAGTAGAACTACCAGGGTCATAAAGGTCACACTTGCAACTGGTCCCTGCCATTCTCCCACTGGGCTAAGAGGGAAGGACCCCAGCCAAAGGGCCCCTTCATGGTTTCTTGCACTGGAGCCCTGAAGGTTCTAGTTACACCACTGGAGGGACCCCTGAAATAATGTTCATATGTACAGCTCATTGAACATTGGTATAATCAGGGAGCCGTTCATATAACAATAATTATGTTTTAGCTATTGACTCTGCAGACAGTTGGTGACTTCTGCTCACTGTGCGCTTCAGCATGCACTGACCCCGCTCTGTCATGTGACGTGGCCTACCACTTGGTGGCTGAGTTGCTCTTGTTCCCAGTTGCTTCCAATTTGTTATAATCCCACTAACAGTTGAGTGTGGAATATTTAGTAGCCAGGAAATGTCACGGATGGACTTATTGCACAGGTGACAACCTATCACGGGACCACGCTTGGAGTCATTGAGCTCCTGAGAGCGACCCATTCTTTCACCAATGTTTGTAGAAGCAGTCTGCATGCCTAGGGGCTTGATTGTATACACCTGTGACCATGGAGGGGATTGGAACACAATAATTTGTAGACCTTGCCCAATACTTTTGGCAATATAATGTGTGTGTGTACAGCAAAAGGTTGGTCCTCATCAGTACTCTGTGGGACATATCCGGGGTTTTCTTCAGTCAAGACTGGACTAGCAGTTGGCCAAATTTTGGCCCTGGCTATTCTCTTTCAAAGGCCTTTGGCATTGCACTGTTTGGTAATGGCCTCCAAATTAAAGGAAGGCTTTTTAATATGGGTATAGCATCAAGTCAATTAAACTCCAGATGGTCAGTTAAGTTGCAGAGGGGGTTGTTAATCAGTTTAAGCTGCTTTGGTTTTAATGATATTAACAACAGGTGCACTAGATGGGCAACAATGAGACGAACCCCAAAACAGGAATGGTTTTACAGGTGGAGTCTACTGACATTTTTTCCCGACTCATAGTTTTGCATTTGGCTAGGGTCAGTGTCACTACTGGTAGCATGAGGCAATACCTGGACCCTATAGAGGTTGCACAGGCAGTCCAACTCCTCCATGATGCCATTTCTGGAAGGTTTTCTGTGTCTCCCATTACAGACTCAAGGGCATGGAGGAGATTCCAGGAGACAGGCAGTTACTCTAGGAGAGCTGGACAGGGTCGTAGACGGTCCTTAACCCATCAGCCGGACCGGTATCTGCTCCTTTGTGCAAGGAGGAACAGGATTAGCACTGCCAGAGCCCTACAAAATGACCTCCAGCAGGCCACTGGTGTGAATGTCTCTGACCAAACACTCAGAAACAGACTTCATGAGGGTGGCCTAAGGGCCCTACATCCTCTAGTGGGCCTTGTGCTCACTGCTCGGCACCATAGAACTCGACTGGCATTTGCCATTGAACACCAGAATTGGCAGGTCCACCACTGGCACCCTGTGCTTTTCACAGATGAGAGCAGGTTCACCCTGAGCACATGTGACAGATGTGAAAGGGTCTGGAGAAGCCGTGGAGAACGTTCTGCTGCCTGTAACATGGTTCAGCATCACCGTTTTGGTGGTGGGTCAGTGATGGTCTGGGGAGGCATATCCATGGAGGGACGCACAGGCTAGACAATGGCACCCTGACTGCCATTAGGTATCGGGATGAAAGCCTTGGACCCATTGTCCAACCTTACGTTGGTGCAGTGGGTCCTGGGTTCCTCCTGGTGCACAACAATGCCAAGCCTTATGTGGGTAGAGTATGCAGGCAGTTCCTGGAGGATGAAGGAATTGATACCATTGAATGGCTCCCACGCTCGCCTAACCTAAATCCAATAGAACACCTCTGGAATATCATGTTTCAGTCCATCTGACGCCACCAGGTTGCACCTCAGACTGTCCAGGAGCTCAGTGATTCCCTGGTCCAGATCTGGGAGGAAATCCCCCAGGACACCATCCGTGGTCTCATTAGGAGCCTCCCCCGATGTTATCAGGCATGCATACAAGCACGTGGGAGCCATACAAACTACTGAGGACCATTCTGAGTTGCTGCAATGAAACTTCAGTAAAATGGATTAGCCTGCTGCATCATTTTTTCACTTTGATTTTCGGGGTGTCTTTGAATTCAGTCCTCTGTAGGTCGATAATTTTTCCATCAAATGGGACATCATTATGTTGCTAACACATCACCCAGTCCATATTATTATTATTATAGCAAGGGGGACAGAACATGAGACAAGACAGTAACAATACAATACACAAGGGGTTCGAGGGCCCTGCTCTTTCGAGCTTACAATCTTGGAGCATATCAGTATAGATATCCAGCATATTTTTACCCATTGAGATCTGATGTGTTTTCAAAGTGTTCCTTTAATTTTTTTTTGCAGTGTATAATAAAGCCCCAAAAGATTAGTATAGTGATGGGTAGCATGCCACTCCAAATGACATCTGTGAGATGGGAGTATATCTCAGAAAGCCAGAAGGATCATCCATCAAGCAACACCATGCAAGGCTTACCAGAAATGTATGACCTTCTAGTTAAAGAAAGGTCAATATGCACATAATTCACAGATCTTAGCAGTGATCATCAGAGGGTAGAAGACAACATATTCATCTCAGAAGGTGCTTGATGAAGTTTCCTCAATTACGTATCCATCCTGATATTGACGTATCTGTATGAAGATTGGTGGTGTTATAAAGAAAAGATCAACTTCAGTGTTCTGGCAAAAATGAACACATCCTCCCTACTGAAGATTTCTGCCTAGCACAGCATATACTGTAATATAAAATAAACTTGTGAGCCACTAAATATTTTTAAGATAGGTTCGTCAGCACCAAACACATACTCATCCAATGTGTGTATAAACTAAACAGATACCACAATAGTGCTGCACTCCTAATTACTGATACATATCAAAAGCAAAAACATACTCATATAATAGTGTAATACCAAATAAAACTAAAACAATATCTCTTATTATTAATAAAGTGAAAAAACATATATTGTGACTGGTGAAAATTAACCAATATTAAATGTGCACAAAAATGAATATAGTGAATAAGTATTGGATAAATCAGTCTCTGGTGATACAAGTGACAAATCCAAGGTGATATTAAATCCAATTCCCAGTGATTCTTATTGTGTTCTTGATATGCGCTCACCTCATTCAAAGCCTAAAAAGGCTAAACCAGCTTTTGTTCACCAGAAGGAACTATAACCATAAATTACACCGTAGCAGTAATATGGATGGCAAGTACACAGTGCAAGAGGCGCACTTGTTGTATGCACTGGCTACTGATTTTATACAAAGCGCTTTTACTTTTGTTACATGTGAGTGCAATGGGCACATATTAAAGGTTTTATATTTTAAAAGGATAAGACACTATGGCCCTGATTTACTAAGACTTGAGTCTACCAGCAGACTCTGAACATTCAGGCAGACTCAATGAAATCAATCAAGACCTGTCAGTCTTCTGAGAGGCGTCTAGCAATCTCATTGACGAACGTCTACTTTACTATTAGTAAATGTGGAATCGCGTCTGGCACATTTTTAGGTGCAATACCGGATATATTCACTAGATGGCTCACAAGCGCGGGCTTTGGCGTTTTCCTGTTTTCATAAGAGAATACTTAGAATGTAACATAAAAAGTACACCTATATTATAATTTTTTTTTTTTTGCTGTTTCTCCAAAATGATCAGACAACTAATGCATTTACTAATGAATGTCATACATTCTATTTTCAAATGTTAAACATTTTCACACTTATATCTCAAATAATTTGGAATGTCTAGTTCTAAGTTCCCAATATAATGATATAGCTTCCTTCTCTTTATTCATGTAACTCTTCTATGTTAAGGTATTAATGCACATGGGCAGCTATGGGTTAGTCATCCAGCTCCATCCATCCATCAGGGTGGGTGCCAAAATGGTAAGGGGAGGAATTAGCTCAGCCACAGGAGCCAGAAAGGTGCTTAATAGTGTAATACACACGTCCCAAGGGTGGTTTACCTTTCACGAGTTCATGCACTA